GGCTTTTTTAATTTGCTAGAGTCATTCAATCTAACTCAATGGGTATCATCCCCAACTCGTGCCAGGGGTCACACCCTGGACCTGGTTCTCTCTCTTGGTCTCCCCATCATGAACCTTGTGACTTTGCCTCCTGTGTTCTCTGACCACTCTCCTATACTCTGTGATGTTACATTGCCATGTCCTGTCCCTGTGTGTGAAGCTCCCGCTACTAGGTTCAGAGCCCTGGATGCAGAAACTATTTCAAAGTTTGTGGACTGTATGTCTGTAAGGTTAGAGACCTTTAACCCAGATCCATCTAACACTGAACACTATTCACAACACTTTGATGTACTTTGTAATCAGGTCCTGGACGTGGTTGCCCCTCTCAAACTTTGCAAGTCTCGGCCTAGGAGGGAGCCTTGGCTCTCTGATGTCACACGGGCTTGCAGGCGGGCGTGTAGATCCTCTGAGAGAAAGTGGAAAAAGGATGGCCTACAGGTCTTGCGTGAGTTGTTCAGAGCATCTCTGGTTGCTTATCAGGATGCAGTGAAGGCCGCCAGAATGGCCTATTTTGCAGACATCATTGAGACAAACTCCAATAATCCTAAGATTCTCTTCAAAACGCTAAACTCAGTTCTGGTGTATCAGGAGCCTAGCACCATGTCTCCTACAGCTGCTGGAAACTCTGAAGATTTTCACAGATTCTTTGTTGATAAAGTGTCGGGCATTAGAGCAGCTATTTCTGGTAACTCTGTTGACCCTGTTCCAGTTCATCCATTACCACCCACCCTGAGCTCCCTCCATACAGTTTCATACTCTGAGCTGAGTAAGCTAGTTGCAAGGCAGAAGCCATCTGGCTCTCCACTTGATGTTCTACCGCCTCGCCTCTGGAAGGCTGCCTTTCCGTGCCTTGGCCCTTCACTTGGTCAGATTATCAGTGGGAGCCTCAGCACAGGCGTGGTCCCAGCTGCTTTGAAAGCAGCAGTTATTCGGCCGACCCTGAAGAAACCTGGTGCTGATGTCTCTGTGATAGAAAATTACAGGCCTATCTCTACCCTGCCCTTTACATCTAAACTGCTTGAGAAAGTCGTTTATCAGCAGCTGGTCTCACATTTAGCTGACTCTGATCTGTTTGAGGTTTTCCAATCAGGGTTCAGGTCTGGCCATAGCACAGAGTCTGCTCTACTGAGGGTCCTAAATGACATCTATCTATCACTAGATCAGGGTACATCTGTGGTGCTCCTGTTGTTAGACCTGACGGCAGCCTTCGACACAGTTGACCACGCGATTCTACTCGATCGCTTGGAACGATGGGTTGGGATCAAAGGGTCTGCTCTGGATTGGTTTAGATCGTATCTCCACAACAGGACATTCAGCGCTAAACTGGGTGATGTTTTTTCTTCTTGGGAGGGGCTCCGCTGGGGGTCCCGCAGGGATCGATCCTTGGTCCTCTTTTGTTGCCATTTATCTGCTTCCTCTGGGTCAGTCTTTTATAAACATGGCCTATCATTCCATCTGTATGCTGACGATTGCCAGCTTTACTCTCTGTGTCAGGAGAAAGGTCACTCTATCCAGTCCTTTGTGTCCTGTCTTAACGAGGTGAAGTCTTGGCTAATGGCCAACATTCTGCATCTGAATGAGGGAAAGACAGAGCTCATTGTTTTCACCCCAACAGCAGCAATATGGATCGTTATGTTGATCTTGGCCCTCTTTCTCCTAACTCAAAACCAGTTGTGACCAGTCTGGGGGTGAAAATTGATGCTGGACTTAAATTTGATGCTCACATCAACTCTGTGATCCGGTCCAGTTTCTTTCACCTGAGACGCCTTGCTAATATCAAGCATATGCTGTCGAGAGCCCACCTGGAGCGGGTACTCCATGCTTTTGTAATTTCTAGGCTTGACTACTGCAACTCTCTCTATGCAGGCTGTGTCAGTCATCACTGCGTCGCCTACAGGTTGTGCAGAACAGCACAGCCAGGTTCCTGACTGGGACCAGGAAACGGGACCACATCAGTCCGGTTCTGGCCTCCCTGAACTGGCTTCCGGTCTGTTATCGTTCATAATTCAAAATCCTCGTCTTTGTTTTACAATTTCATCCAGGGTGGTGCTCCCCCCTATCTGGCCACACTCCTGAACAGACATTCCCCATCACGTGCTCTGCGCTCCTCTGACCAAGGCCTGCTCGTTGTCCCTCGTTCTAGGGTGTCGTACTCGCGGGGACCGGGCTTTCTCAGTCCTAGCACCGTCACTCTGGAACCAGTTGCCACCCTCAGTTAGGCTGTCCCCATCTCTGTCAGACTTTAAGAGTTGCCTAAAAACACACCTCCTCAGCTTGGCGTTCCCTGAATGTGTTTGAATTTGGCCCTCTTTTATGTTGATTTTATTTCCCTGTTTTCATTGGTCTCTCTAACCCTTGTTTTACCCATTTGTCTTCTACTAGAATGTTTTACCTTTTTTGGTAATTTGTAATTTGAATTGCTTTTATTTTCGATTTATTCACCATATTTAACTTTCTCTTGTACCATGTTCAGCGCCTTGGGGTTCCCAATAGGGTTGCGGAAGCTGCTTTATAAATAAAGCTTTGATTGATTGATTGATTATTGATTGATGATTGATTGATTGATTGATTATCTACACCAGATCAGTATTTAATAATATTAATGATGCATTTTATGTAAAAGTGCCTTTCAAGAGACACAAGGACATTTCACAGCAGCGGTACAACAATAGGTGACCCGCAGGCCAGACGTGGCCCACGAGCCCTCTCTTTTGTGGCCCCCAAACCCCACGCGCACCACCCGCCCCCACCTCCAACGGCCGACAGGGAGGTGTAGGATGGAGCTAAGGCAAATAATCAAATAATCAATGCATCAAAATGCGGGCATAAATGATTCTGCATTATACAAGAGTAGCCATAATCACTTATAGTTGAATGTAGTTTTGTTATTTTAATGGCGGCAGCAGCGTAGCATCCAGATATGTCATAATGAGTGTTCTCCACATTTACTGGGTAGGAAACGTTGGTCCTTTATTTGGTACTGCAGGGCTGAGCGTTGGAGTTGTAACCTGAGACCGAACCTGAGCCGAATCAGCCCAATCGGTTCCGTTGGATTTGGGGCCGTGAATTATGTTGATTGAGCGGGTTGTCACGCGGCACGCTCCGCTCGCCTCAGCGACTAATAGAGAGAGAGAGAGAGAGAGAGAGAGAGAGAGGAGAGAGGATTGGAGGACGCTGCTCCAAACACGCATTATTATTTTCATAATTTCATTATTGTTTCTCCTGAAGTGCTCAGTCAGACCGAGTTTTGTGATGTCGGGAGATCCGTTTTGGGGAGGGAGCGGGGTCAGTGATGGTGGCTGCAGCGTAATCATCCCTCTCTTTTACTTTGGGACACGGAGAAGTTAAAAAGAGAGAGAAGTAGAAGTTAGAAGTTTTTGTTCCACTTTATTGTTTTGTTTCATGATAATAAATTGATGTTAAATTCAGCTTAAAGAGAAACTGGGAGGAAGCTTTGGTTCATTTTAAGTTACAGGAGGTCCTGTTTCCTGTCTGCTCCTCCAGAGACAGCATGGACATGAGGGTTACATGGTGAGGGTCCCACAGGACAGCTTAGTGGTTAGCTGGTTAGCGATGGAGATCATCAGATGGGTCATTTAATCCTAATCCAGCCCACAGCGTTCTGCTGGTGTTATTATCAGCAACAATAAAACATCTTAAATATTATTGGATGTTTAGGATTTTTAATGTTTTATTATTTTCTGCATCAAACAGAACTTGGTTCAGTCTCCAACGTTTCAGAAACGTGACCTTTGGGTTCAAATAAAATAAACTAAATCAAACATTTAATTTGGTGTTATTTCTTACACTCTTGAACTGTGGCATAAATATCTGACTAAAGAGGCTCAAGGACATCAAAACTAATATATGAATCCATTATGTATTTTATCATTTAAATTAAAGGCAAGAATTGGATGTGTCCGTTAACTTTCAGTATTTTTTCAGATTTTGTGAGTATTTGTAAAGCGTGGGTTTCTCAGCCTGAGGTGTGGTGTTGAATGACGAAAGATTTTTTTACTTTGTTAAATCTTCTTGAATGTTTAAAATGTTTTGTCCTAAGGACTGTTGTTAATGGAGAGCTTTTGGGGGATGTCAGGTTGTGTCAGACACTGTTTTTGATTTGAAAAAAAGCAATTATCTGACATCTTCTATTCATCGATGAAAACAAATACATGTGAAATAATTGTGATGCATCGAGATATCGAATCGACTTGAATTGTCGACCCAATAATCGTAATCAAACTGGGAGACAAGTGAAGCTTCACACCTCAGATTGACAGTGTAGGAACGGCAGCGGTGTGCATTCACTGCTGTAATATTGCAGGCTGGAGTAATGCCCCCCCCCCCCCCCCCCCCCCCCCCCCCCAAGCTTATCAAACCATACAGCCAAATTGATTTTACAACCCAGACTCCACAAGCTCTCTCAGACACTTAAGACATGTTTTGCTAAAACATCTAGCTTCCATTCATCATTCCACTCATCTGTTATCTACACAACCATCAGTTCATTCATACTCTGTCATGTACAGGTGCATGTAGTTTAGGAAAATAGAATTAAAATCATTTTATGACTATATACTTGACTCTGTCTGGAATAATGTGAAGTGTGTTTGTTCCCTGAATAAGTCAAAGAACCTAAAGGAATATTAAATTCAAAGACCAATCAGATTGATATTTCATATTTATATGGAATATCACATCGTATTAATCATTTCATAAATAAGTAGCTAATCCTTAACACTACAACTGGAATTATTTGGTTTAGATTTTAATATTTAATTCATCTTCAAGTATCTCGAGTTTGGGGTCTGAGTTTTGCCAGATCTGCCTAATGGTTAAACAGGCAGAGCCTTTCTGTTCTACATGGATAGACCATCATTGAGTGTAAGGGTAAAAAAAGATTTGACATCTTTATAGCAGTCAGAACGGTAATGAAGCCACGCATGACCTGCTTGTCCTACCTTGAAGCTTGGAAGTTGCTCAGAGGCATCTTTCTCCTGTCGGAGGCAGGAGTTAAAGATGAGTAGTTCTGTGTCTCGCAGCCATGCCTTCAACTCCTTGATCCGAGCCTCCAGCTGCTCCAGGAGTGAAGTAGTTAGTGGGGACAAGGCCGAGCGGGGGGTTGCAGCAGCAGCGCCTTGACTGTCCACCAGAACAGTGTTCTCATTGGATGGTAGCCTTTGCCCAGAAGAGCAGGACATTGAATGCTCTGAGAGAATTTTCTGGACAAAAATAAATAAACAACAGAAGTAAGAAAAAACAAATAATAAGACCGGGATCAACTGAAGAGGCCACCAATACTCAACCACATGAAGGAGCGCGATCACACACAAGATGGTGGTGGTGCTACAATATGCTGTAGGGATACCTGTACCTACTGTGGCTGAACTCAGAGCTATTTTTCCCTCCGCACAGAAAGAGTTGCAATGCCCTAATTAGTTCAAAACAGTCTTTGACCCCCGCTTTTTAACACAAGTCCCCAGGAGTCCACTTGAAGGGCTTAACTTGAACAATGCAGAGAAGTTTAGTCAGCCATCAGCGTCAGCTCTGAGGACGTTTACAGCCGGTGAACTAAACTGTAAGCAAGGTAAAAAATAAAAAAATAAACTTTTCTGTGTTTTAAACAGCACTAAAAGTGCTGTTTAAAACTAAACACAGCAATTAGTCTAACTACATCTGGTACTCTGCTTAACGTCACACACCAACTCTTGCCTCTTCTTTAAAAACAAGGTAACATTTCACACCCTCAAAACCAGTTAATGAAACAGGGAGTATGAAGTTCTCTGCCCTCATTATTTTAATCTTATTTTCTTTCCCCGTGTCCTGTCTGGCATCAAAGCGTCTGCTTTAATGTCACGCCTGATACTTAAAACTTTATTGTTATTGTTTTTGGATGTTTTTGAAATCCGACCAGACACAGAGACAGAGGTAAAAGAGAAAGGAAAAGACAAAGGGGGGGGGGGGGGGGGGGGGGGTCCACAAAAATAAACAACCAATGATGAACAAGAGTCTGCTTCTAGACGTGCAGAAAGAGAAAACACACACAACAAGAGCAAGCTATCAATGTGTCAACCTGATGAGAAAATATAAAATCAATATTGTTTAACCGAACAATCACACGCTAATAAATCACAGTGCATTTAGTACCCACCACAGCCTTAAGACCTGTATTGAATGTGCCCAAGTCCATACTTATGAGAGCACCATGTGAGCACCTGTGTGTGTACACGTGCTTGTTTATGTAAGGTTTTTCTATAGGAGCGTCCAATAGAGAGTGTGAGGGGCCACAGATCTGCCCCCCAAAGATGTGTGGGAGATGAAGGGAGCTCCAAATCCCAGAGATCCAGGAGCTGCCCCAGAGCACAGGGACCCCAGGGAGACTGTAACCAGAAAAGCCCCAGCCCCCTCTTGGGAGGCACAGAGGATTTCCCCGGGGGTCACAACCAGCAGTTGGCAGAATCCCGGGAGATATTAGTGGCAAGCTCACAGGCCCGCCCGCAGCCTCCCACCCCCTAGCCGGCTGAGCCCGGAACCCAGCGACCTGGGACCCAGGGCCGACGACCCCTGCTGGGGACCCAGCAGAGCCCAGGGACCCAGACCCCACCAGGCAGCCACCAGGATCAATCAGGCAGATGCCAAAAATCTTAAACTCCCTGACCCGGGAGCCGCAAAAACTCAGGCAGACCAAGGCACCATACTCAGCACCAAATGTGGAAGGGGAAGGGTAGGCGAAGATGTGTAGATGCACAGGAAGTCCCAGGAGAAATGTCACAGAAATGAGGAAATGGGACACATACCCCGCACCCCTCAAGGTCCTATGTGCATGTTTGTGTGATGATTTGAGGGAGCAGGAGGAGGAAAATGTATGGAGATGAGGAGGAATGGCCGGTTGGCCTAATGCCTCCAGGGAGCCAGCTCCCCCACTGGCCCCAGTAGGCACCTCTGTTCCCAAAATGCCACCCAGGGCATGGAGACCCCAGCCCATCTAGCCAGTCTAGCCAGGACCCAAAGCAGCAGCATTGCAGAACCCCACAGAGTCCGAGAGCACCAACCCAGCCCCACCCCAGCAGAATATCTACTCCCATCCCTGCATTTGCACAACTTACAGAAATTAAGACAGGAGACATCCAGGTAAGGTTGAGTCCTCCCCCTCCTGGACATCCCCCTCCCCCGAGGTGGGACAGAATTGTTAATTTTTCAGAGGAGCCAAGTTCTTTGCCCTCGTTAACAAACAGCTGCCCTAACTTCAACACCTTCACATGTGGAATTTTGGACATCTTAATGTCATGTCACCTTCTCACAGGGTTTAGCTTTGTTCTATAGCTTTTTGTGTAGGTTTTGTTGCATGGCCAGGCTGAAACTTGCCAAATCAAGGCTCTGTCTTGGTCAGGAGACAGTCACTGCGTTTACATGAGCAATTAGGTCCATCTGCGGCAATGAACTGGGAGACTTTATCCCAGTTTACATGTAACCGAATCACTGAATGAAGTGTGTTCCACTCTGCTGCTACCTTAGGTGGAGACATGCACCCTTTCATATCAGTATTCTTCTGGTTATGCCAATAGCAACACAAATAGTAAGCAAATGCTGGTAGTGAAGCAGACAAAGTTAACCCTCTCAGGCTCAAAATAAGTTTTGACAAAAGGACAAACAACTAAGTCCTTCAGGGGTACTTTTGAGTTAAAAACTACTCATGAAATACCCATGTGGAGTTACCAGGTAGGTAGGTAGGTGCAACGCCTGCCTCCAGAGGGTTGAAACAGGATGCGCACAATGGCTGAAGGGATGGACAACAACATCAGTGCAGCTTATTTGGTACGTACTGTACTGTTTGATGGTGTTGCACGTGTTACTTTGTGGTGACAATGCCACCAGAAGACCACTTCCAGTGTCTCGTCAATTCTGAAGGTGGAGTGTCCCATCGGTCGCAGCTCGACTGAGCCTTTTACATGCAGCGGAAGTTGGGATGCAACCACATTATCTGGGTACTTCAGCTTGATTAGAACCAGTTCGTCTTCAACCAGACTAAAGCATTTACTTTCATTTAACAACACCAACATCAGTCCATTTAAGGCAATTGTTGAGTTTATTTATGTGTATGTAAACACAACGAGTCTGCTCTGCAGAAGCTCTACAGGAGCTTACATCACTGCCCATGTCCACGTAAGAACAGCTGCCACTTTCTACTGTCCTTGAGCCTTTCTCCCAGCCACAGGAGTAGCCAGGGTCCTGGAAGAGGCTAGCCTGGCCCTGAGTTCATGGGAGGCCCATGCATGGTTTTTAGGTCTGGGGTGTTGCATCTTCTCCTAAACATGGTCCTGAATCTACATGTTATGCCATCAGGTGGAACACCTCTCCAACTAAGCCTGATCGTCGTGTCTAAGCCTGGGTGAGCTGCGGGTCTCTGGTGGTTCTCAGCCAATGTGTTCCGATTCTCATCCTGGCCACAGTTGTTGTATTGTTGCAACCTTTGTGGTAGCCATGTTTTGAACTCCATTATTTTAGTGTGAAAAGGCGGCTGAATTTGACTAACAATGCTTAGGAAGTGAAGCTGGTGTTTTCCAAGGTTTCAGTAGATTTGCTGCTACTTCAGTATCTTGCTTCACCTACTACCGAGCTGTGATACTCACTCATTACTGGGTTATATGGGGTCATTAAGCACTTTGAGCGGCATTTTCTTTTGTATGAAAAGTGCTAAACAAATCAAGTTTGATTGATTGACTGATTGATTGACCCCCGCCCTCAAGGATTTTTACCACACATATGTCCTCCTCACACATTCACACACTGGTGAGGATTAGCTACATGTAGCCACAGCTGCACTGGGGTGGACTTAATGCATCTATACAAACATCTAATACGCGTGTGATTATGTGTGTGTTCATTAGATGTGTGTGTGTTTACGTGTGTGTTCATTAGACGTGTGTGTGTGTGTATGTGTGTGTTCTTAAAGCCTGGTTTATGCTTCTCCGTCAGCTCCGCAAGGGACAGCCACGCACGGATTGACGGAAGCGTTTTGCTCTCATACTTCTCCGTCTCCTGGAGAGTGTTGCAAAGCAATTCCCCGGCAGGACACCAGAGGGCGTAGCGCTGCTCTATGGTATCATGTCATGTATCGGTCCAAGATCGTGTGTTTATTGTGTGTTTTTTGTGTATATAAGAGACTTTTAACACGGACATATTTGTCTCTCATTCTCCCACCTCTTCATGCGCTCCCCACCTCTAAACCCACGTTTCCTGTCATTTCCGTCCACAAATAAAACGCTTGCTGCGCATCTTTTCACTCCTCCAGTCACGGGAGAATTAAACGTTCATATTTTTAGAGTTTATTCGCGAGTTATTCTTCAAGCTTCTCCGTGTCTGCCGCTAGTTATCCTCGGCTCTCTTTGCAATGGCGGCGCTGTAAACAGCGGCGTCCTGACCAATCACAAGCTTGCGTAATCCGTTTCGTTCGACGGATGTTTAAAAAAGTGGGCTCGACTCCGTACGTACTTGCGTGCCTGCCGGAGCCCTACGCAAGGACGGATAATGGCGTTGCGTATCTCCACACTGACGCAGACGGAGAAGCATAAATCAGGCTTTAGGCGTGTGCGTGTTTATGTCTGTGTTCAATAGACATGTGTGTGTGTATATGTGCGTGTTCTTTAGGCGTGTGTGTGTGTGTTTATGTCTGTGTTCAATAGACATGTGTGTGTGTGTATACATGTAGTTCAGTAGGTGTGTGCGTGTTTATGTGTGTGTTCATTAGACTCTTTCTGTGGTTTTGTGCCACAGAAAGAGTGTGTTGTGTTGAATTGATAAAATATAGACAGTTTTCACCGTCATCATTCAAACAGCTTTTGAAGCGATTTCTCTGTGAAAACGATCTATTCTGTAGCGTGATGATGGACCATGGCCTGCTGGTCGGTGAACCTGAAAGACATCCATTTCCATTGCTCTGATCTGCGTCTGTCTGTGGTTAAATGTGGCATTTCCTCTAGAGTTCAGTGTGATGATGTCAAATAGGCTGATGACATAACCACTGAGCACGTACATCTTTGATTACAAGCTAGCAGTGGTCACATGACCTAAGCTTGTCACTGCTGATGTATCGCTTTAGAAGGCAGAATGCATGGCGTACTGTTGCCTAGCAACAAGGCATGTTATTTGTTCTATTTACTCTTAATGAGTGTCTCCTTATAAACTAGAAAATTCCTGAAGAAACTTTCAAAAGGGGCGTGTCACCTGGAACAAGACAGTGCTTATGCAAATATAAAAAAATGCCACAGTGTGAAAGTGGAAGCCTCTAAGTATTTAATTGTTTTCAAGTACTTCCTGTTTGAACCCAAACTCAGGATTCAGTAAGTCTAAGTCAACACATATAATCTGATCTTCAGACGTTAGAAACAAAGAAATGACAAAAATCTAAAACATTCATTGATTACTTTACAACGGTTTTGTTTTCTTCACCATTTGTATCTGTGTGTGCACATGCATGCTGATACGTGGTCATTCATTGGGCAAGGATAGTTCAGAGCCAAGGCATCAATTTCCCTTAATTCCCAATTTGTGTCAAAGCAGCAGATGCCAGCACAATCCCTGATAGGCCTGTTAATATGCTGCTGAGATTGGCAATGTGGTGGAAAGCCACAAAAACAAATGATGCTTCCTGCATTCCTGTCAAAAGCAGGGAACGGCCTCACACCATAACACCCTACAACTCTAATTCTACAAAAGATTAAATGAGTACATCTAAATGGAGAATAGAAACATCACAAGGGACAAAACAGTAATAGTAAAAACTAAGTGACCATATAGGGAGAAGTGAAACTACTGGGTGGATGGTGTTGGAGGTCGGATGGACAATAGTGGGGGGACTGAGCGGTTTGGGGCTTTCAAGAGAAACTAAGGAGCAAAAACATCATTTTTATGGCAGAAACAAAATAAAAGTGATTAGTTTCTAAAAGTGGTGAAGCAGTTTCTTCAGAATAAAAACTTGTAAAAGCTTCAGAATAAAAGCTCTGAGACATGTTAGACAAATTAATGTTACTTTTTTAATGTATTAGTATTGATAATTACCTAAAAATGTTTTGATTTTTGCTTCTCGATGTTTTTAACAACGCCATGACTGTATTCTGGTGAAGTGAATGTGGGTAAGGCTGTTGGGTTAGGGTTTTAACTGGAAAATCCTTGTGCCATCAAACATCCTATTATTGCATTCTTAATGGTGAATAATACTGGGAGTCAAATGGGATCAGTCCACAGTTAAGAAGAAACGCCCTGCTTTACAAGTGTGCATTGATGGAGACTGGGAACAGACTCATAAGACAACAAGAAGAGAGTTTGAATAGAAAATGAAGGTCAGATTGTTCAGAACTCCACTCATAACCTTTAAATTAAAACATCAGATCACGTTGGGAGGGTTGTGGCCAAGCACGAGATCACTCCGTTATTTTTGGATTTGACTAAATTAACATAATATTGGAAGGATGTACAAAGTTAAATTAGAACTTGCTTATATTTGGTAAAACTTCTTTGGTAAGTTCTTGCTGAGTTGCTTTTCTAACCGCATTGTTGGTTCTTTTTTAAATCACAGAAAAAAGTTTGTTTTACCTTGCTAACGTTTCGTTCTCGGCTACAAACGTCCTCAGAGCTGATGCTGATGGTGGCGTCACTTCCTACTCCATTTATCCGCGGGCAGCAGAGGACGTTGTCGCCCTCTACTGCCCGCTCTCCCCTCTCTGATGATGCAGTCCCATGCACGATCCAGCGTGTAAACTCCATCGTCCCTGTTCATGGTCCCACATCCACGTCTCCTTATCTCGATAGCTTCTTTTATCCATCTTTTGTATTTCTGTTGTTCGGTGTTTATGATCCGTGTGCTGTCCCAGTCCATTATATGGTTTTCTCTTATGCAGTGATCTGTTACGGCTGTCTTCTTTATTGTACTTTCTGCTTCTTCTTTTGCTGCTCTCGTGTGTTTTCGACTTGTTTCTTTCTCTCACTCCTTTCTATGTTCTATTGTTCGTGTGTTGAGTTGGCGTCCGGTTTCTCCTATGTATGTTTTATTGCAGAGTTTGGGTTAGGTGGATGAGCACAACAGATGGACGGTTATTTAGTTTAACAATGATCACATGATACTAAATGAACCCGACAGGTATGTTGTGTTTCTCTAATCTTAGCAAACACCTTCAGGACCGACAATTTGAACCACTTCTTTATTGTATTCTTCCTCAAGTCATACAAGTCTGTGAGGGTAAATGGTCTCCCTTTGGTTACAACAAACCGTGTGAACATTTGAGTGGGACTGGATCATTTTTAGTTAGACTTCTGTTGCACTTGTTCACGCCTGCTATAAAACTTACCACAGATTGTTTTGTTGACACTTACAGAGGAAAACAATAGAAATAAACATTTGCCCCATCACTGAAAATAATAGAGCATAATTGTGTGTGAGTCCAAATGTCTCCTTGTCAGTAATGGGAATTGGATCATGGAATGAGAAGGATAAAAGAAACTCATCTGTTGCTGCTGTTTAATTTCTAAAATGAAATCAGTCTCAGTGATGCTGATACATATATTAATGCACACGTACATACTCCCATGAACGTGTGAAGAATTTGTGTTGGAAACCATTCTACATGTGAGATGAGAGTTGATGCACACACACACACACACACACGGGTTGTGTTTGCTACTGGGGTATCCTTCTGTATTTGTCCTAACGAGTTCAAGGCATCAATGTCTTAAGCCACTGAAGAAGACACTTTGTTTCTTCCAAAGGAAAAATGTCACATATCCAGATCCTGACCCCAGCTAGACCTGACCATGACCTAACCATGACATGCTACATGAGATGTTCCACACCAAATCAAGATGCCAACCTTCACTTTTCATCCAAGCTATGATACCCCACTGTGGAGTGTGCTCTGCCCGGCTGGTAACTCTAAGATGTCCACAAGTGGTCAAGTTCATCGCTTTGCCACCCAATCAGATTGTGTGCACTGTTAGTTTGCACAAGAACAATGCCAAGTATGTTGCTGACAAAGTTTGGGATGTTTATCTTTTGGTAATGGTCTAATGTCTTATCACGTTGATACTCCCATACTGAACTGAGAGTTTGATTGTAGATTTGTGTAAAATCGTGTTATTGTTTTAAGAACTTCTTGTTTCACTTTTGTTTGTCAAGCTCCATGTACATAAAAGTTGAGATTCAAAATGAAGTCGTTACCTCTAGTTGTCTCCATGTGTGTGTGAGGTTGTGCATTCTGTCGTGGAAGCTGTTGGGTAGGTCATTGCCACTTCTGTTGAAAGACGCAGCACGGCTCAGCAGACTGGCTTTCCTGCTCTCCATCATCATCAGCTCAGTGTAGCTGCTCTGGAAACAGGCAATAGAAGAGATGCATGTCACTCAGGTGAACCCAGATCTCAGTCCGATTGAGGGGACTGGACTTGTAAAGGCACATTTCAAACACAGAGGCAATCCATTGTGCTTTACAATTATCAGGACATGATATGAAAACAACATAAAACACAAATTAAAACACACACAGACAGAATTACAGTTTAGAGCTAAAGGAGAAGACCAAGTTACAGCGCAGATTACAGTGGAGACGACGCAGCATTGGAAACAACTCATTTGAAGGCTGATGAGTGCATTAGGGTTTTAGTTTAGTTTTAAACAACACTAGGGTTAGGGCAGATCTGAGGTCCTGGGGAAGCTGATTCCACATGTGAGCAGCATAGTAGCTAAAAGCATCTCCACCGTGTTTGGTTCTGACCCGAGGTTCTACCAGCTGATTGTTTCCTAAGGATCTCACAGCCCTATCGGGTGTATGTACAGGAATGAGATCGGACATGTATTTTGGCCCCATGCCATTGAGTGATTCATAAACTAGTAGGAGCACTTTGACATCTATTCTGTAGTTTACTGGTAACCAGTGTAGGGATCTAAGAACAGGAGTGATGTGCTCCGGTCTCTTAGTTCTTGTTAAGAGTCTAGCAGCAGCATTCTGGACAAGCTGCAGTTGCTTCACAGCTTTTTTGGGAAGACCAGTTAGGAGACCATTGCAGCTGTCCAGCTGACTAGAAATAAAAGCATGAAAAAGTAAAGAGCTATTCATGCCCTTTTCCTTAATAACCAGACAGCGTGTGATGAATAAAAAGGGTCAATTTTCACCATCGAATTGACACAGTAACCTTTCATACACGCCAGAGCTGCAAAGTCAAGGTTACGCCCGCTGGAGGATTCAGACGCACAAATCAACCTTTTGTTCACTTATTGTTCTTCAACGCAGACATAAAGAAATTGCCAAGGTCTCCCGCAAAAGCCTTATGTCTCTACGTAAAACAACAAGATGTTTAAATGAAATGTTTGAAAAATCTGTGCTTCAATCAATGAAGTTGAAATGAATACAGCTCTCACAATGATCCATTGCAGATCTTATGATCAGTATGTGTTTGATTTAACACGTTTATCATTATCTACACTCATACACACCTGCATATGATACAAATTAAGGCTAAGGTTCCCCTCACATAAAGTTCAAAGTGTTGAGAATCTTGTATCTGAAGGAAGGCGTGGCTTTCTCAGGAATGTTTTGGTAAAGCCTTCCAGACATGGCACAATCTGATTTGCCAGAATACGCCAGAAATCATAACAAAGTAGTTTGATAAAACAAGAATTACTTCCCGAATAATTCAGTTTCTAGCAGAGCTCCGAACCTGTCAATTTGGAACAAGCATCCTTGAGACATCTCTTTCGACGTACAGTCAAACCCTGTTTGCATGCTGCAAGCTGACACAGCCAGACGGCTCCCTAAGAGCCTCATCCACTTTGGATGCCAATAAGCATTCCAGCAACTGCTGTGACCTGGAAACATCTCAAGTCTGGACAGGTCGTATCGGAGTTAATCTACTAGATCCCGGTCCCGTGAGGTCCACCCGACCTCTGACAGTCCGGATCTGCTAGGGGTCTCCACCAGGGTTTGTAGACACAACAGATTGTGTCTGATGCTGTTTCATTAATAATCAACTCTCTAGTTTATAGCGGACAACAAATTCTTTACACCCAGATTTCACAATTTGTTTCAGAAACAAAGATTCTGATAAACATCTAGCTTACATCACACCACCTACACATCACATTCCATCACCGCATATTCACTTCATCACATCTCATTATTCATATCTTGTCATGTATAATCATTAGTTTAGAAAAGAATAAAATTCCTTTTTAAGTATATACCTGACTCCGTCTGAATTAATACGAAGTGTGTTTATGGTCCCCAAACAAGTAAAAGTAACTATAATCTTCTGATTAATCATTCCATGATCAATCAGATTGATATTTCATATTCATATGGAATCATCACATCTTATTGGTCATAATTAATTTGCAGTCGTCACGCTATAAAGTGTGAAAGCTACAAGCGCCAGAGCTGTTTTGCAAGGAAAATGTGAAAAAAGGCAGTTTCCAGATGTGCAAGCCTGAGACAGACCCAAAAAGACTCTGTATTATGACCCCAACCAAAGATTCATCGACCTACTGCTGACCTAAAGGGAGTGAATATGTTTTTATTTTACTTGTTTATTTCATGCTTTTTCTGAGGAACATATGTAGGAGTGTCGGAATCAAAAACGTCTAGGAACTTTCACCTATCAACTCACCATCATCATCATCATCATCATCATCATCACTGTGTGAATTTGTCTTATTCACGAAGCCCTTCAACAGCATGTCCAACTAAAAAGCATCTTAGCTTTAGTTCAGTTTACCAACATTTGAAAGAGGCACGTTGTCAAACAAAGACCATGCATGTTTATGTAGATTTGTTGCCAGGGCAAAAGCGTCTGATTTTCAAGGACCCGACATGCATTTAGAGTGAAACCTTCAGCATCTCTTGAGTGCTGATGATATCTGCATCTTAGGGAAAGAGGGAAGGAAGAAAAGTAATCTGTCTTATTGTGCCTTTCACAAAACGAGGCCAGGTGTGTCAGGAAAAGTCAACTTCATCTCTCTTCTCGTAATGAGTATCAGACATTATTGTGTCTGCAAATAAACAAGGAACAAAATGAGTTGCTTTAGCATTTCCATTTAAATAAAAAACTGTATTTGAACCAAGTAATTATCTTATGGGATGATTGCTGTAGGAGCGGAGCACACCCCTACTCATTTCTCCAGATCTTTAGTAGCTTTGAGTCCAGCGTCTTGACGCCCTGTCCATCACATGTTCACAAATGACCACTGGGTCCATCTTTTGACTGTGTTTACATCTGAGGCACTAGGACTATTGATGGCTTAAATCTGTTAGACTTTAGGGCTTCAATTGTGTTAGCATGTTACGAGCAGCAGTGTTGAACCTGAACAAGTTTACTGAATGGTTGTTCATAAAATCGTTCATACTTTTAGTGAACGTGAAGTAGGGTTGTGCGATGGGACAATTTATTCAGCCATCAGTGATGGTCTGAGCCGTTACGGTTGTTTTTACAAGAGGCCATTTATTTATTTATTTATTTATCCGCGAGTATGTTTGTTAAGGACAGATATTTTACACTTTACTAACAGAGAACATCGTGGAGCTAGCAAGTAAGAAAAGATCTTCATCAGAGCATCTGAGCAATATCTCACACTTTCTCCGCATATGGCTGCTGACAGTGTGTGTAAGCGGCACTCTGAAGAGGAGCTCAGAGAGTGTCTATGACACACTCAACGTTGTGCACAAGAGCAAATTGTCTTGTGGAAAGTAGAAACCCTTCTGAAAGACTTCTGGTTATTTCATTTGGAGAATTTTTTCCTGATTTTGAAACTTTGGGTTAAAGTGTCTTTCTGGAGTGTTCTCCTTTCAGAAATGATGTATGATTTTACAGAAATCTATAAAATTGATGGTCTCATCATGTACTGAGGTAAAATATGAGAAATACATCAAATTTATTTATTTATTTTTGCTAAGCGCGCCCCCTGTCCTGCAGAGCTCCATGCAATAGGAAACTGAGTGCCAACCAGAACTAACCAATAGCATTAGACTACCGCTTACATGCTTCAAATTTAAGGAATACCTCGATTGATGCAGAGTTGAGGAACTTTTCATGGACAAGGAAGTCTCTAAAATATAAATACAGGTGCTGGCCAGTAAATTAGAATATCATCAAAAGGTTGAAAATATTTCAGTAATTCCATTCAAAACGTGAAACTTGTACATTATATTCATGCAATGCACACAGACCAATGTATTTCCAATGTTCATTACATTTAAATTTGATATTCATAAGTGACAACTAATGAAAACTCCAAATTTGGTATCTCAAAAAATTAGAATATTCTGAAAAGGCTGAATATAGAAGACACCTGCTGCCACTCTAATCAGCTGATTTACTCAAAACACCTGCAAAGGCCTTTAAAAGGTCCCTCAGTCTTGTTTTGAAGGCACCACAATCATGGGGAAGACTTCTGACTTAACAGCTGTCCAAAAGACAATCATTGACACCTTGCACAAGGAGGGCAAGACACAAAAGGTGATTGCTAAAGAAGCTGGCTGTTCGCAGAGCTCTGTGTCCAAGCACATTAACAGACAGGCGAAGGGACGGAAAAAATGTGGTAGAAAAAAGTGTACAAGCTCTAGGGATAACCGCACCCTGCAGAGAATTGTGACGACAAACCCATTCAAAAATGTGGGGGAGATCCACAAAGAGTGGACTGCAGCTGGAGTCAGCGCTTCAAGAACCACCACGAGGAGACTCATGAAAGACATGGGATTCAGGTGTCGCATTCCGTGTGTCAAGCCACTCTTGAACATGAAACAGCGCAAGAAGCGTCTCGCCTGGGCCAAGGACAAAAAGGACTGGACTGATGCTGAGTGGTCCAAAGTTATGTTTTCTGATGAAAGCAAGTTCTGCATTTCCTTTGGAAATCAAGGACCCAGAGTCTGGAGGAAGAGCGGAGAAGCACAGAATCCACGTTGCATGAGGTCCAGTGTAAAGTTTCCACCGTCAGTGATGGTGTGGGGTAGGGCTGCAACTAACGATTATTTTCATAATCGATTAATCTGTCGATTATTTTTTCGATTAATCGATTAATCGGTTTGTTATTGTTTAGCTATTTAACCTATACAAGTGATGGATGCATTTCAGTTAAGAACAAAAAAACATAAGAGAATTGTGCAGTTGACTGCAATCTATTTTATTGCACATGAACACAGTCAGCAGTATAAAATGAGCTAAACAGTGCAAAATATCAGTCCAGAATAATTTTTAGCATTAGCTGGAAGCCTGCTCCTTCCACCATGGATAGTGGCCTCATGTCTTTTACCAGCATGTTTAGAATAGAGTTTGTAAGTGGTATGAATTGCTGGGGGGTGAGTGTCTTCTTCCCCATGTAGT